CCAATGGCTACACGTGGCGCACGAATCTGTTCCGATCGGAGCCCTATTGGAACCAATGGTTCGCAGACCTGTCCAATCAGTTCCTGGAGTGCGGAGCGGACGCCAAGCTGTTGCTGTTGGCGGGCGTCGACCGACTCGACCGCGCCTTAACGGTGGGCCAAATGCAGGGCAAGTTCCAGATGCAAGTGCTGCCCAAATGCGGACATACGGTGCACGAGGACGTGCCCGACAAAGTGGCTCAAGTGGTCGCCTCATTCCTCATCCGGAATCGCTTCACGCAATCCAAGCGCGAGTTCGAGCGACCCTTCCCTTCCTGTTAACCCGCGGCTCATCCATATGTGTCACCCATTCATCGACTGTTGTGTTATATTAAGACTTTTAGTTTGTTTAAAGAAATTATGATCAATTAATGTAACAAATGTTGTGTTGTTTTTGAATGAGCGATCATTTATTGCAATTACTAATAAACTTAATTTAAAACTATTTATTAAATTATACTCAATCATAATCCAAAAGTGTGCTTAATGATTTGTGTAAGTTATATAGCCATGTTATTAATGGCCATATTGAATATGGCATATTCTTAATTATATTTTATTTAATCATAGTTAATCAAAATAAACATTGTTACAACTGTAAAAAGTATATAAATAGAAATATTACACGATATATAAAATTGTAATATTCATCAAATAAAGAATATTCCTTAATATTTATAAATAAAACTTTTATTACTTTAAGTTATTATTTGTAACAATGTTGACATTTTTCATATATTTATCTAATATTACACGATATATAAAATTGTAATATTCATCAAATAAAGAATATTCCTTAATATTTATAAATAAAACTTTTATTACTTTAAGTTCAGTTATTAAGGATTTTGTGGAACATATTTAGCCATCTATTTGTTTTATACTTGCCATTTTTAATTGGTTAATCCTATCTGGCTAAACTATTAAGTGTTCACTAAAAAGTAGTGTTTATTGATGGCATATTTATTAATTTAAATAAACTTAATTATAAAGTTTAAGTTATACTGTATTAATCGTGAAACAAAACCTGATAAACTTCCAGTTAAATAGCACTCTCTATCCAACTATTTTACAAACACTAATCATATGATACAATGTACAATAGTGTACAGGTAGATTTATTATGCAATCGATACGTTAGGCAGTCGTTATATACTCATAAACTTATAACTATTGCACACATCGTTATGCAATCATTTCATACTATAATACATTTGTCACAATATATTCATTTAGTTTCCAATCAACAGCTTTCCAAATCATATCAAATATAATTTTTACATTTTTAAAACTAAGTTTTGTGTGAAAAACTATGTCAGAAAGTGTTACTGAGAGCACCGGTAGTTCAAAAACCAGTGATTCTGGGGAGAAAAGTAGCCCGGAATACGATGTGATCAGAATTCCTCGGAATTACTACAAGAGATCCATGTATTTGAATGGATTTCAAGAGCGCCGGGATTTGGAGCAATACTTCTGGACGGAGACCACGACTGAGGGTATACGCGATGCCCTGCGCTATACGTTTGGCCCGGAGTCCAGTTGCTGCCTCTGCACGCCATCCCTGGCCCACAACTGGTGGGCGTTGGACTCGGAAGAGGTCAGTTGCCTCGACATCGACACCCGGTTCGCCTATTTGCCGAAATACCGTTACTTCGATCTCCGGTACCCCGAGGCGACCGACTTGGGCGCCGACCAAGACTTCTGGAGAGTCATCGTCTTTGATCCGCCCTTTTTCCACATACCTATGAACGTGTTGTACGAGTCGGTGGTCTATGTCTGCAACAAACAGATCCGAAGAACCAAACTATTGATTGGTTTCTTGAGACGGGAGGAGAAGACACTTTTGTCGGTCTTCTCGGCGTTCAAACTGAAGGCAACAAACTTTTCGTTAGAATATTCTCACGTAAAGCCCAATAAGTGGAAAAACTATTGCCTCTACTCTAACGTGGATTTGCCGGGAATTAAGCGAATCACTCATTAGTTGTATATTTATCTTATAAACTCATTCATAATGTCATTTAAATTATTTATCATTTCAAATCGTTTCGCATTTTTGTTCATAATTTCATGTTAATCTCTCATCATTATTAATGTGTTATTAGTGAAAGTAATACTTAATATATTTTATAGTTATTTAATTTTGAACAAAATAATTTTTATAAATTTTGTAATGCCTACACAAAAATATAGTTTGAATTAATTTTATTTATTTTTCATACCGTAATATTAATATAATAAATTATAATAACATTTTCAATCAAATTGCAAATTAAATTAGAGCACAATTTTATTCATAAATAAACACTAATTCTAATGAATTGGTCGATAATTGTGTAAAATTACCAAAAAATCAATACAAATGAGTATTAAATACAAAATTCTTTGCACTATTATTACTATTTAATGTGTAGATATTTATACAATAAAATCGATCAAAAGTGTATAACAAGTCACATCTCATAAAAAGTTTCTTATATTTATATTATATATGAATTTTAAAATTTAATTCAAAATGTGAACAATTGGTTCGTAAAGCCATTCAATATTCAATGTATAGCTGCTATAAAGTACAGAATATTTCCCAAAAAACTTTCTTAAAAGAGAGATTAAACCATAGATAAGTCGTGTCTTATAATAAGTTCATATATACAGTAAAAAGAAGTTAATGTCTGAATTCATGTACAAAATGGTAAAAATCACAACAAATTATTGCATTTAAATGACTGATAAATCTCAAGTAGTAAATCAATGATAAATCAATGAGCCTTTAGGTGTGTAAAAACTTAAGACTATTGCCAAATGTGATATCGATATATAAATCTTGAGTTTTGATTTTATATGAAAGCGGAAGAGTGTTGGCTCTCATATCCCGGCGAAAGGATTTGATGTGTCCGTCCATTCTGGCGATGAGTCACACAATCCATCACTTTCTTGTCGACTGAATTTACTTGCTTTGACTCAACGAGTATTGGGTTTATTGGCGGAGATTTCTGTGTTAAGTCCTCGCATCTGACATATGTTGGATCACTACCACTGCTGGCTCTGGAGCTGAGAGATAGTGTTTCGATGTAATCACTCATATCTGACGATGAAGTGCTGGAGTCCACAAATTTGAGGCATTCGTGTTGCTGTACAGTCGGCACGGGTTTTGATTCAGTTTTAAGTGTTGCGTCGGAAAGCATTTTTCCGGCAAAAACATCACAGCTTTCGGCGGTCAGCCCTCGCGCTTCAATTCTGGCGGATGTGCCGATACGTGAGGGCCTCCGCTGAGGACTGGCGCGGAGGACCGTTATTTGGCTACTTGTGCACAAATCCTCGTCTGATGACCGGTAGTCCGCATCGAGTCGTTGTTTAAGACAATCGGCTGACTTATGGCAATCGATTTTGTGGCCAAACTTTGCGAAATGGTTGTGCGTCTGAGACAACGGCGTCTTTGATATGTCGTCAATACTAAAGGATTTCTCTTTGGATTTATGCGACAATTTCGAGACAACGAAATACTGTGGGCTCTGTTGGAGGGAATGGGATCTGAGTGGCGGTGCCGGCGACGAGGGACACGACATGGCGTTTGGCAGAGATATGCAAAAATGGTTGTCACGGTTCCTGTCGGACGAGTTGGAGCGCTGACGATATGATAATGTCTTTTTGAGTTCATCGATGGGTTCACTCTGTATGCCATTAATGCCACTCAACTTAGTCGACGAGCTTTTGCCACTTTTATTTGAATTTATTGTTTCAAACATTTGCTGATTTGACGGATTGTGCGAAATATTTTCCATCGATTCGCGAGGACTAGACTTCTCTACACGAGTTTTGTTTGCCATAACCGGACGCATAAGCATATAGTTATCAATCGGTGCCCTTTCGCTCGTGTCTATCGATTTTTTCGTGAGATTCCTGTCGTTAAGCTCTGACATAATCTCATAGTTATAGAGACCATGATTCTGGCGCTTACTATCAGCCAATGGCTCTTTGAGGGCGCCTTTAATTCTGGCATCAATTATGAGTTCCTTGCTTTGAATGAACTCAATATTCTCGTAAAGTGGTATCGATTGTATGAACTCAATGTTAACATAATTATCATTTTGAAGACTTGTTGACTGTTTTGCTTTGGAAACACAATTATTTAATTCACGGCATTCTGTGTGAGCACTACTGGGCACACATGCATTGCATTCACTCTCATTCCTATCGCCAATCGTGTAATTCTTATCGAAAACTTTGTTGACTCCCTGTGTTTCCGAACCATTACTACCATTCACTGGGAGCTGAATATCAGATTTGCACTCATTTTGTCGGCTAATTGACGACACTTTTTGCACTCTTAATGCACTTAATAGCGAGGAATCCATTTGATTGTTGGCAACTGTGTTCTGATGGCAACTAACCATACATTGATTGATAGCGTTTACTGACATCTGATCGGAATTATAGGTATGGACTCTATTGTTATAAAAGGTTGGGTTCCTATCATTGAATGCATCGGAATTGCCTGAGTTTTGTGCATTGGATTCAATCAATGAATTGCTGTGTCTTTTCCGCATCGCTGCAGACATTGCACACAAACAGGGAATATGGCATCCATTTAATGAAAGATTCATTGATTCCTATGAAGTGATGGAATAATGAAAATATGAATTTTATCACCTAGTTGCTAATATAAAGTCAAATGTATAGTTTACTGTACTTGATATTTTCGGGGGACGTCGTACTGGTCTCCGCACACATTCTCTATGTTTTTGATGGTGTTGTCAGACAAACAGTTTTGCGATGCTTTCAGTTCCTTAACAGAGAATTAATTACTTTATGTATAAATATTACAAATAGTTTTTAATTAAGAAACTGCTAATTAATTATGCATTTTCTGTGCATTCACAAAGAGTAGCCAACATTTTTATTAATCTAAACTCAAAGTTTGAATATTTGTCGAGACACTAATGGTAAGTGCATTAAACCATTTTAGACGAGCATTTAATTGAGATAAAAGTGACAAAAAGAGTGTTTAAACACAGCATTAAAATAAATACATTAAACGCTATGCCTATGAAGCGATTGCTTAAAATAAGAGCAAAAATAGCAATTAGTTTTCGTAATTAATTAGAAAAATACCTTCAAATAAATGTTTGCGAGGGCTGTTCGGGGCACTGAATAGTACTGTTCCCCAAATTCTTCCATTTGCTGACATTTAGCTCGATTTGAATCGTTTAATAGCATAAAGTGATTAGAATTCTCGCACGAAATCGTTGTTTTGGGATTATTGGCGATAATCTTATGGCTGGAAGTGATTGTGTTTCTGTTGGACACATCCGTGTGATCCAAATGACAGCTGCAAAGAGCCATTTGTTCCCTTTTAGTCATAATATTGCAGATCTTGTGCTGAAAATTCTTAGGCTTGTCGTACAGCATGTCCTCAATAAGTGGTGGTTTATGTTGACGTCGAGGGACTGAATATTCTGTATTGCAGTGACAGGAGTGCCCACTACTGTGGGAACCGCTACTATTGCTGCTATTACTGGCACCTGAACTGTGGGAGCTCTGGGAGCAAAGGGACGCCCGATCGGGAAGAATGCATCCATTTTTGGTTATCGTATTCATGTTATGAGTGCAGCCGTTGTTATTATGCCGGAAACAGTCTCTCATAGACGAGGGAGAAATGGATCGCAAGTCCGATAAGTTTATGGCCGACAGTGTATTGTTTGCCATCATTTTGGTGGACAACACGTCGTCGTTGCCGTCGTAAATGTCAGCGCAATACGAGTGATGAGCACTGCATTGACTGCAGCACTGAGACGGTGCCCAAGAAGAGCACCGATTCTTATCGTTTTGCGTACATTTTGGTAGTGTATTGCAGTCGACGGTAGATAAGGACTGAATGGCGCACCGATTGTCTGCAAAGCCATTAAACGTCGCGTGCGATGAATGGCTCGTTAAGTAGCACTCATTATCTGCGGCCACACTGGCGGAGGGCGAGTGATAGGGTTGGCCACCGTTGCAGCTCAGCGTTGACGAGCAGCGCAAGATCGTGGAGCAGGTCGATGGGGACGAGTAGTGCTCATCGCAGTCACCGTTGCCGCCGATGATAATCTCGTTGTCGAAGCTGGAGGAGCCGTTGGAACAGCTAAATCGGATTATCTCTGAACAGGCGTCACAGACACTGCTCTCAGAGCTGGAGCTAATGAGAGGACGACTCGACTCATTACTACCACATTCACAGCTTTTATGGCATTTAGTCTGTTGTAAAGACATCCTAACGGAGCCGTCAATTGCTGTGGAAATAAGGAGAGAGAGAGAGAGAGAGAGAGAGAAATGTTATGATTTTATTGAATCATAAGAATCTGCAGTTTTTCGCTCTTCTATTCAATTCTACAGAGCGTTGAATTGAATTCAATGTTGCATTGAATCCCTTCTCTTACATGAGTTCTTGTTTGCTGAAAGACGTCGCTTCCCATGAAGTTTGCCATTCAGTGCCAATTCAAAGCATTTGGCCAACTCTTCGCACTGATTCGTATGCAATACATGTGCGCCCACTCCTAATGTCAAGTATATTCACACTTTGATTACCACTTTTTTAATCAACGCCACTATACTCAACACAATTACTTTCTTATGTTTGATTTGATTTCGTTTTACAGTTATATTACCGGTATATGTATTTCAGACATATTTTCGCACAAAATATTTACGCAAATTGTTTATTTTAAACCACAATAATTTAAAGTCATTTATATGTAAATTTAATATTTTAGTACTGTATTTAAATAAATTTTTATAATTTTCAATGTATACTAATTCTCTATGTCTGCGATATATGGAAATTATGATAATTTTGGGTTTAATTATTTCTATATTGGAAATAAATTTTAAATAATCTCTTATTTATAAATTCAATAGAGAAATACAATAAAAGGGTTGATTTATTATCATTATTTGCTAATTTATTTTGAAAATCAAAGTGAAATTAATGGAAAATACAAATTGTTTTAAAGCATTTGAAGCATAATTAATT